TCCCCTCTTTTACAGTAACTAGTGAGTTCCTCTAGCATTACAGTGTTAGCACTGCAGCGTTGGCTAACACTACCGTGGCTGTTTTTTCATATCAGTAGCTGATGTTATGTGAGCTCTGTAGATTTGTGACAAATGGGGGTAGAGATTGAAGCAGTTCTGTGTGCATGCCCAACACGGGAGACAATATAAAATGTTTTAAGGAGCTGGGTACTTACCTAGTGACTTTTCCTGTGCTTAAAACTAAGACTCAAAGATCAGCTAGGTAAGTGAACATAGGATAACTGGGTATCTCCAACTATGAAGCTGCACCAGAGCAACTGATTTTCACTGTTGATATTACTCTCTGTAGAGGATGCTCTGAAATCCAGGTCACAGACACATCGTGCTGAGGATGCCAGATGACAAATGCTTAACTTTATCTTGAAGTGTACCAAGCCATGAAGAATGAATTATTCTAAGTGATGGGGACAAGTAACAAACACTGATGTGAGCTGATTATATCCTATAAAATTTACAACACTCCTCACTTTATTTTCCAAAGGTTAGGCATAAAGTACAATAGGCTTCATAATGGTTGTCTTCTAAAAGTTGCCTTGTAAAGACACCTCATGAAAGTGATAGCAGTGTGGTACAGCTGATAAGAGGACACCGAGTCTATTTTAGCCAGCAAACCACTGAGAGAGATCAACTAAATCAGAGATAACTCCGAGACCAGCTCAGAGATGCTCTCAAGTATAAAGTGTTAATACAAATTAACGTATTAATACAAATTTCTTAAGGCTTTTTCTCCTCAGTTGTACTTTCAATTAAAAATATCTGCTCTTCTGCTAAGAGCAGGCACTGAAAGTTTTTGTTTCATACAAAACAAAATTCAGTGTTAGACTGAATTCTGAACTGAAACCAGCCACTTCCAGGCTGCAGCAGCTCTCTGCCATGCAGTTTCCTCCCATTTAGTTGACAGGAAAGATGAGCCTCTTCCTCAGTGTGAAACTGGGCTGTGGCATCTGCTTCTTTGCGTCTCGCTCACAAGTTTTTCTGCTCACTTCTCGATTCACCGCTGTCAGGATGGTGAGAACATCTTCCCCTCTGCAAAGACATGAGTACAGTTTGTATTAGGCAGTTAACATCAGCAAAATAACATTCTCCCTATTTTAATATACACCAATGCTAATGGCTTCTGTTTTTAACAGACTTCAGAGCACTCCCCTAAGTCGCTTTGAACACTTTGCATGGTGCTGCTCTGTCCTACACCACTGTTTTCACTCTGAGCAAGTATTCCCACTGCATATCATCTACCTCTGCATCTAAATCAAATTCCTTCCAGAAGGAAAATTCAGGTGTAGCCAAAAATAAGCTTATGGAAACACAGGTACCGAGGACAGCTGTACTCCAAGTGCTGGCACAGTGCCTGTATGTACCAGGTTCCCTCCCTGGGACTTCTGTAGGAGACGTAATCCTGCAGGGTGGCCATGCCCAGAAGGAAGTCTGCCTCTGCAGGGATGCAGTCGAGTTGAAACCTTGCATCTTGCTCTACAGAAGAATCTTGCTCTCCAGAATCTGTCTCAATGGTCACACCTTTATGGAAAGCATCACCTTGGCAGGCCTGAATAAAAAAAACTTTTGGTTTTCCAGCAAGTGAATTGCAATTCTGTGCAGTGAAAGAAGAGGTCAGTTCACGGATAGGTACTTCCTGCCCATCAACACCATATATAATGCCTTTTTTCCCATGAGACAGGATACAGCAAACAAAACAGTCCTTGTCCTCATGGTCTTTGCTCTGGAAGCTCTTCACAGTCTTACGGATTCCTTCTGCAGTGAGGTCTCTATATTCTTCTACTCTAAAATGAAGCTTGCTAAAGACATTCCTCAGAGCCGCTGGAAAGCAAAGAGAAGGGAAATTAGAGACATTTCATTTTATGGAAGTTGGACTCTGCAACTGCAAACTGCATTTCTAGACATAATTGGTCATCTTCTACATGACTACATCTACACAGTTACATTCTGGGTCTGAAAATACTCTAGTAGTCTAATCACTCATCATATCTCTACTGAGTTCCCTGACCTGTCATTAAAATATTTTCTTGTTTATTTCTGTGTATTTTAGAATTAGTATGCATAGGGCTGATGCAAAGCTAGCCTAGCTTGTAAAGTCAAGGCTCAGGGTGCTACTTAAGGTTGCAGTTACCTCACTAAAACTGCAAAATGCAAGTGAATTGTTCAGTGTCAGGGCACTAAAAACTTGATTAGGACTTGTCAGCACAGTGAACAGCCAACTGAGCCTCTACAACAAAAGTAATCCTAGAAAGGGAAGACTGAAATTCAGACCTTTAGAAAGAGAAACAAGGTTTCTATTTTTAAAGATCCGCAAACTCATCTTTGACATTCACTGTACCTGCATCCACATCTGTCCCATTCCGATCCTTCATGTGTTTGTGTTCCAGCACTCCTTCCCTAGCTTTTGCAAAATTGTGATTATTCAGGATCAGGCACACTCCACAGGGTCGGCTGGTCATTTTGTAAGCTTCTAGCAGCTGAAAAGAAAGACTCCAGGTGAAACTCCTGCACTCTCCTCAAAGTGCTCCTTAGCTGCTGGGAGTGGCAGAGCAGGGTATGGAGCCAGCTGGCCTCCTCTCCAGGCAGCTCTCCCTCAACAGCTTTGCTCCTAGGGCCTGGCAGTGCCCTGTCCCACTGCCTTTGGCAGTCTGTGCAGGACAGCACCCTGCTGGACAACCAAAGGCTCAGCCCACACGGGGTGCTCTCTTCATTCACATCTCTGTGCCAAGCCAGCTGCCAACTGCCCAATTCCTGGTATCATGAACTTGGCCTACCTTGCTACCCCCTTGCAGATGTTTCTGAAGTACAACACTGCAGCAGCTGTGCCTGTGACACAGCTTCAGAATAAAGGATGCAGAGTTGTGCATTTTTATTTTTATAGACAGTTCCTTTAACAGTTGGTCTTAGAACAACTGTTCACTTCATGGAGGGGTGAGCTCTTCTAAGACAAAATGATGATGGTTCTAAGAAATAAACTACCTTACCTGAGAGGGGTCATTAAAACTGACAGGAGGATCAGGTGCCACAGATGATACCAGACGTCCTTCAGGGCATCCTGTGCTGCCCCTCTCTTCCTCTGTGATGAGCATCTCTTCTTGGCCTGCAAAGCATCTGTGATTAGTCCTGCACATCACTTCAAGAATAACTATGGGGAAGAGGCTGTTTTGTTCTGTTTTACCAAACAGGTTTAATCCATCTTCAATTCTGTTCCACAGGCTGATGTTAATTTTTTCACACAGACTCTTCAGCACACTCAGGTTGTCTTTCCCCAGAAGGCCCTTCTTCTCCATCTCAGTGAGAATGTCAAGCATTGTCTGGGTAATCAGAAAGGCAGTTTGCTCTTAGGGCACCTCCATGCTGCCACTGGGAGTAAAGCTGCAGCATGCACACCTAAGCTTTAATGTAGTGACAGCACATGCGACCCACAGAGCCATTCCAGCTGACTGGGAGCTCAGGTGAGACCTCAGCTGAGCCAATTAATCCTACTTCAACAAAACCTACAAGTACTGTTAAGTACCAACATCTTCTCAAAACATACTTACTTCCTTTCAGTAGCAAAGAGGTGCCAAGATCTAACCCAAGATATCTAACAGTGGTCATACAGGAATATGCAACAATATTTTTAATGATTGCTTTCATTCAACTTACAGTGGTTATCCTGCACTCTGCTGAAACAGAAGAATCACTGCAGTGACCATTTTAAGTGCTGGCAAAAAGGGAATAACTTCACATGATGGTGTAGAGATTGCTCTGAAGTAAAAGGGGACCCAAGTGACAGAAACTCATCAGTGAGTGGCAGAGCAGAGTGGTCACCCCAAGAATTTACTAGAACAGCACTCATAGTCTCCCCTCTAAGAAAAGAAGAAAAATCCTCAAAACTTTTATTAGACATAACAAAGCACCAAGGAGTCAGAACTGCAGCCTGGGACAGCATAAAAGCACTGGATCTCCTGCAAGCCTACTTGTAAATTCCAACTCATTTGACTTAGCCTTGAGAAGAATCTGCTGCTTAGATCTGTATCTTATGCATTTTAATAGAAAATCATAAAATAACATCCACAGTGGGTCACTTTCTGTATTTGATGACTTAGAAAGAAGAAAAAAAAAAGTCTGTTGGCCAAGATAAGTAAATGTGCTTATCAGTTTTTTGTTGATTAAAGCCACTGAGTACCCCGAGTCCTGTGTGGTGCTTGAATGTGATGGCCTCAAGTGCCTGGCACTCCCAGCACAGTGACACTTCTGCAAAAGCTGTGCCTGACACCAGCACAAACAAATCCCATGTGCACCCAGGGCACCCTTTTTCTTGTGTTTTCACCATACGAGTGACACCATAAAGGAGAGTGACGTTCCTTCCCCCATGAGCAACCCAATTACATCTATGGATTATAGTAATAATTTTTAAAACGTATTAAAGAGATACTTACAGTCTCACGGGTTAGCTTGCTTTTTGGTAATTCTTTGACCAAAAGTAACTTGAAAGACATCAGTTCATCTTCAGTGGTATCTTCAGATAGTTGAAAGAGCAAGGATCTAGAGAAAGAAGTGGAGGGCGTTGTTTCATCATGTTTCCGAGCACAACTTAACTCCGTACTACTGCACTACTCCTTTTGTCTACTGTCCCCACAGCACATATTCCCCCTTTTTTTCCCCGTTTTAGATGGACGACGCAAACCCCAGGCCTCCTGAAGTCAAACCCTTCAGCCTAGTGTTGAGGTGACGGCTGTCCCGGACAGAATGAGGCGGCCAGCCCGGCCCGGCGTCCTCACCCACCTGAGGGGCGGCACCCGCGCCCCGCCCGGCGCCCGCAGCTCCCTCTCCACCTGCTCCCGGCTGGAGCCCAGGTGGGCAACCAGGAGGTCGATCCGCCCGATGCGGTACAGCAGCTCCCTGAGGAAGGCCAGGTTCCCCGCCTCCAGCACGCCCTTTTCCTGCAGCGCTTCGAACAAGTCGTGCGGGCTCCGGGCGGCTTCCAGCCTCCTCCTGGGGACGTGCTCCTGGCTGAGGAACTTGAGCGCCGCCAGCTCGGCCTGGCCCAGCTCGTCGCTGACCGCCAGCAGCCGCCCCCGGGGCAGCTCCATGGCCGCGCCGCAACCGCGCAGGACGGAGGGCGGGGCCCGAGCGGGGCGGCGCTTCCCTCTGGATTTAAACTTCCGGAGCAAAAGACGCCGCAGTTCCTTGGGGAACGGTGTGCCGTGTTTGCTCGCGTTTGCACCTCTTGTTGAGCCCATTCTTGAGCAAACCGAACCGGCTACTGCGGATGCGGGGATCTCCCTCTGCCCGGGCTTTTCCTGCAGTCTCGCCGGTTCCACTCACAAAGCGCTGCGATTTTAATACAAGGAGAAGGAAGCTTTTATGACATCGCTGATTCGCTTTCCTCCTTGCGAGCCTCCTGGGCTGCTGTCAGAACAGGCAGCCCGCTCCCTGCAGGCGTTCGGTCCCTAACATCCACCAGCCACTCTTTCCTACCATCTCTCCAGCTGCTTCCCCACAGGGGGGCTGCCAGCAAACACTCCAACAAGAGCAAAATGACTTCTGCTGGGGTAAAACTGTTTGTCATGCTGACTGTCCCTCAGAAAGCTCATCCAAGAGAGGAACACACCACAAACCGAGGTGATATAAAAACCAAGAGAATTTATTATAACAGAAACACGATTACAGAGCTTCCTTCCAGTATTCCACAGTCATTCAAGACACACTGTGCCCTGAGAGCTCTGAGAAATAACGAAATGAGAACCTTTATAATTGAAAAACTTATACAGTTGAGCTGCTTATTCAAGTAAATGATTGACATAAATAAAACCAAATATTTAGAAGAACCAAACTAACATAATAATGGGGGTTTGGTTCTTCTGAAGCAGGACAATATTTTCCATGAACAATTTTAGCTTCCAAAGACAGACAACAATTCAACTGTGTAAGGCAGTTACTTTACACATGCTGCCTGGGAATGCATCCAGCATTCTGGGTTTTTTTTCAGATTTTAGGGACTTGAAACAACTCAGACACAAATGAGACTCCATTGACATTTCCAGCAACAATTTCAATACTACTTGAAAGTCCTTTTGCACTTGAAACCCAGACTGAACATACTCCACTGCTTCTGCAGGACAAAAACCCCAAAGATCTGTAGTCTTCCACAGCCTTAACAGACCACTACAGATCCAGGTGTCAGAAAACTGATTCAATATGGAAGTTTTAAAATTTAGGTCCTATGCTTCCTTAAAGGGCTGGGGCTACTACGTAGATCCAGATAATTTCTCATGTAAATTCTCTTCCCTATCAAAGCCCACTCCAGATGTTATTCCTAACCTAGTGTATTCTTACTTGTCTACTTTTCATTGTGGAACTTCAAAGATCAATTGCTTCAGTAGTGTTGATGTTATCTTTGGCATCTGCTTAGATCCTTCTAATTCTCTTCTTGCCACTTCATTGTTCACTTCTGTTAGGATGGCTGTGAAATCCACGCGCCTTGAACAAAAATGAAGAGAAGTTACATTGAAACACATGGTACTTGCAGCTCAGCCAAGAAGGTGATGTGTGTTTGCCCCAGTAAAGCGGTATCCCAGGGAAGGCTGGTATCTTCCTCACCCTATTGCCACTAAAATTGCACATTCCTTTGAATAACCACAGAATTCAGTGTGTTTTAGGGAAATAAAAGCAACCTCCATGTAACATTACTTTGGTTGCAACCAGAAGAGGTCACCAAGATTAAACAAACCTATACATTCTCCATGTCTTCTTTTGGATGCCATGAGAAAATGATATCTGAAGGGAAATTTCTATTTTCTAAATGAAGTTTATGAGGGGATGGGTGGGAGGCAACCATGAAAATTATGCCTGTAGAACACTGGGGGGTTTAGTCTGTGTAAGCACTCAACAAATTCACCTCTAATCAGGTGTCACTGGAAGAAAAATAATTTATCAGTCAAAAAATGTTAAAAAACACACATACACACACTTGTTTGTGTGTAATGTTGCAGCATTACAACCCTGGTTTTGTCACAGGAAAACCAGGGGAAGTCACACTGGCTCATCTGTAGAAGATTAACAGTGCCCAACTTCAAAATAAGTACTGTTCTCCACTGTCCTGCATGTGAAAAGCCGTAATTGCACAAATGCAAACCACTCTGTTTCAGCACAGCATGCTTAAGAATGCATATCTGCAATAACCTAAATGTACAAGAATTAGAAGTAGTACTTACTGTGGGCAAAGCAACTCCATCTTCTCACAGAGGGATTGAATGTAAACACTGCCAGTCTTATGACTGCGGAAGGACAAGTAGTCCTCCACTGTAGCCATGCCAATCAGAATGTCAGCCTTATCAGGAATGGAAGTCAAAGGACTAGCATCCACCTCAAGATGTCCAGAAGAGTCTGGTTCTATTGTAACAGGTGGGTGACGCACAGAGCCTTGGCAAGCCTGGATGATAAACACCTTGGGTTTGCCAGCAAGAGAAGGACAATTAGTTCCAGTGAAGCAGGAGACTAAATCTTCGATATTTATGAACTCATCATCAACACCTTTTATTTTGCCTCTTTCACCATGGGAGAAAATGAAGCAAACAAAACAGTCCATATTTCTGTGATCTTTTTTGCTGTATTCTTTAACTGTCCCATGTAATTTTTTTCCTTCTAGATTCATGTACTCAACTGTCTTAAACTGAAGCCACTTAAAGACCCTCTTCACAGCCTCTGGGGAAAAAATCAGAAGGAACTTGTTAAACATACACAGTGACAAGGAAGATGCTGAAACATCAGTGTCTGTGTGGTAGATCAGATATTAGCAGAAGTGTTCAGATCCCACCAGTAAAATCACCTGACTAGCTCTTAGCCTGCCAAATCCTATTAGAAAAACCTAAATGCCTAATTTGCCTAATTTTATTTTTTTTTAAATACAACTGGGTTAAGTATCATGCTATCTAAAACACAAACATGTTTCAGATTCTGTGCTGTATTGGTACAAATCAGTGAAGTTTACTGTGCTAAAACAAGCTGTAACTATGCATTGCATAGTAGTCTCAGATGCCTAAGAACAACACCTGGCAAGTTAAAGAAGTGCCACCTCTTTAGAATGACAAATTTCGCCACTCTTAAATGAAGTCGGTCCCTCATTCTGTGAGAATGGTCGATGCAGCACGAAGGAAGTCCGAGTAACCTGCTCACAAATGCTATGAAGACTTCTCAGCAAATAATGGCTTAATTGTTGTGTGGGCAGAGAACTTGCTGGGAAGAAAGCAGCCTGTAAATGGGCTGGATGGAGTTAAAGTATCTGTGACATGTCCTTTCAGGAATCTGATTTTACTGTTTTACTCTTATTTATCTCATAAGTGACTTGCAGGAAGACAGGCTTTAAGGAAAGTTACAGAGAATTTGTTTGAGCATTGAAGAGAATTTGAGGACTTAAAATATTTTTCTATCATAGCTAAGAACTAAAAACAATCAAAAATTGGAAAGGTGGAATAATAATCACTTTTTCACTAGTTGTACATATAACCAATTAAGACAATGCCTTTTTCCTAGAACAAAAATTAGATGCTTCTTTAAGCCATCAGCTAAATGTTGGAAGTGGCATATTTCCAATTGGTACAGTGACTCACCCCAGTCTCTGGAGGCCAGGGAGTACCATGGACATGATTCTTCTTCACAGCAAAGATTAGGTAATTTTTTGTGGAGAATTATCAGAGGAAAAAAAAAAACAAACCAATAATTTAATTTAAAAAGTACTTACCTCCATCTTGCAATGTTCCCTCTCTATTGTCACGTGGATTTTTAAAAATGTGGTTGTTAAGAATTAAACAGTAACCATGGGGGGTATTTTTCATTGTATAAATTTTCCCATGCTGCAGAAACAAGAAAAAAAGCAGGTAGAAAAGCGGAGCCAAGCATTCAAAAGAGAAATACACTATATACAGATTGCTGGTCCATCATTATGTAAATCACAAAGGCCAAGAAACAAGAAAGGAAAAGCCTACAATAACTGTATACAATTTAGCTACAGAGGAGAGGAATCTGCATTGTCTCCCTGGACCCCTCCTTCTTTCTCTCTTCTGTCAGGATATGCTTTTGACATGCGAGAAAGGAACCAGAAACACAAATTTGCATGTGCATAGGGAAAGTTTCTGCACTCCACCACTATCTCTGAGGGTACTTGTGCAATTTCAGTGAGGAAGCAGGTTCTGCTATTCCCTTCACATCCTGGCCAGGACTTTAATGTCCCAGTCTCCATTATCATTAAGATTGGTTTTCTTCACTCAACTGTTGGTTCATTTCTTGCTTAAAAGGTTGCTAACAACCAGGTCCCCACAAAGAAGGCTTGGTCTTGTTTGGAAAAATAGGAATTGTTCCGAGACCTACATATAGAGCCAGAATCCCTCCATCTTGGCTGTTCCACCTACTTAGTATCATGAATTTATCCTCCCTCTCCCAGGAGATGGACAAATATTTCAAGGGTAATCTTGAGGTATTTCTCACCTGTTTTGCTGCCTCCCCCTCTGCTCCTTGTTCCTCTGGATGCCCAGACACAGACACAGGATAGCGGACTTCTTCCCTAGAATAATTTTCTAAGAAGGAGAAGATAAACAAAACATTTTAGAACTAAAAGGATAAATATTCTGCTGTGCACACTTCAACGCTCAAAAAGCCAGAACAAGGAGTGAGGTGGAGGGGGTTTTCACACCAGTGAGACAGCAGCATTTTGTAGAGCTGGGCCAAACACAGCTCCAGTTTCACAGACTACTGGTTATTATAGAAGCCATGCAAGGCTGTGCCCCATTGCTTCTCTGCTCCCCTGCTCTTCTACAGTAGCAAGATACAGATAATAAAAGGTTGGATGTGAGTAAGGCAAGCCATTCACCAGCATCTCCACTGTGGGATATGTAAGTGAAAGAGGAGACCCATTTTTGTACAATAGTACAAAATGCTGGTCCATTTGTTTCTGAGGCTACTGTCTCTGCTCCACAGAACTTTACTGTGTGAGTAGATGCAAGGATGCAAAATACCAGCATAATGAAAGATCTTCTCAGAGCACTTATTTGAATACAACTTTCTGAAAAAAGTGAAATCATCAAATCCATGACACTAACCAAGGAAACAAAATCACAGTACTCATTTTACAAGTTACAAAAATATGTTTAAATTAAATTTATTTGTCAGGACAACAAACTCTACACAGCATGCTTTTTTCCTATTTATCAAGAGGACAAAATAATAACAATGCTATTAAAAAGCCATTCCCCTGACACAGCACTTGCTTGCACTAGCTTCCCTTGGCAATTACCTTCTGCTCTTTTAGAGACACCAGCAGAGGACAGCAGCACAAAGACGTGCAGGGAAAACTGCTTGGTAGCTCTGCAGGGTACTGCATGGACTGTTTAAATGTATCTGAGGAAACTCAGGTCCTGAGCCATTCAGAAGGAAGTTGTTATTGACTGAGCATCCTGTTTCCCAAAGGAACACCCAGCTGTGGTGCCAGAAAGCACCACCTCAGCTGCAACAGCCCGGATATACTGAAGTCCTTGAAATTTTCCATCTGGTTACAGAAAGCTACACTTCAGTCAAGTGACTGGTTTTCAGAGACTTTCCTTTGACAAAGAACAAAGGGCCTAGCTAACAGAAAATAGTTCTGACTATCTCCCAACTCAAGTTTCCCCAAATCAACTGTCACTTTCTGTCTCTTACAGTGACTTGGAAGTTGTGCTGGTCCAAAACCAGTACCGCACTTTTTCCTGAACAGATAAATTACATTTAAGGCAAAGAGAAGGCAGAAGAAGAGCATTTACAAGGCACAGAACATACTTCAAGGATAGATATAAGAATCCACGATGGGATAATGAAGTAGCAGAAAACTTCAGAAATCAGAGCTCTTCAGAGCTGTTCTGCCTATCCTAGGTACCCTTATGGTAATACGATCTCTCCCTTATGGCTGGACTTCTAAGCTGACAAGGATGGAGCCATAAAACCCACAAAATGTTCCTAAAGAGCAGATTAAATAAATATACCTTTTTTTTTTTCTTCATAGGCATCAATTTTTTTCTTTATGTCAGCTCTAACGCTCTGGAATAGATCTTTCAGAATTGTCAGATTATCTTCTTTAATTATCCCATTTATTTCCATTTCCAGAAAGACCTGCAACATTGACTGGTAAAACAAAAACACATAACCCAAACTCATCCAGTGACCTTTGATAACAGTAGTATCAGGCACCTCTGCAACAGGGCAGAAGACAACATCCTCCCTCCCAGAGACTTGCCAGCTAAAGACCTATTACTTTTTCCTCCAAAACTCATTAAAGCAAGGGCCAAGATACAACGCAACTGAATAAACACATCATCACTAACGTTAAAGCAGGACAATTAGAAATTGCTTATAACTAGGCTATCCTGCTTTGTTTCAGCAGTACAAAACACTGATGAGGACAGAACATCCTGTTCTGCCTTTGTGTTCTGATGAAGTGCTGCTAAGTCCTGTAGCTATGCCATTTTGCATTTCCTATTGAACAGAAAAGCTGTTCAATACTAATTTTGTTTATTAAAGCTCAATTGTCCATCAAGTTGGAAGTAAATCTGCTAATTTTCCTCTACGTGCCACAATACAAATAGGACTTTTAAGGAAGGTGCTTGATAATACGAAGCATTTTTATAACACAGCTCATTACAAATATTAAACTAGCTCACGCAACCTCTTAATACTTTTGGGGGAAAGTTAGCAATATGTTGTTACTCCAAATTACAATAAAGATGAAAATTTATCCATTAACACACAAAAATTTGTGGCTGAACTCACATTAGAACTCAATTTTCTGTCTCCAAAACATTGTTTTCCTTTAGCAAACATCACTCTTCTTAGGTATAGCATATGTCTTATAAAGACATTTGCCTTATAAATGCCAAACAAAGATTAAAGGAAGAGAATGATGGATTTTGCAAGAGAAAATAGAATCAGAAGAGAAAAAAAGGCAAAGATACAATGCAAAAAATAAGGATCTGTTCTTTCACACAGCAGCTATTAGCTAACATCACAATTCTTTCAAACCAGATTTTCATGAGAGCACACTGCTTTCTCTTTCCTCCCTTCTTACAAGAACTAGAGGACACCAAACTAGCCTTGCAAAAAACTCAAGAGCACTTTTCATACAGCGTTTTCCTGGAGCTTGTTCTTTGGTAATAGTTTTTGGAGCAGGAACTTCACACTTGCAACGTCTTCTGGAGTCAAGTCCTCTGCAATTCTATACAGCAGTTGCCTGACAATAAAAAACAGAGTGACCTTCAAGAAAGCCATAAGAAGTAAAGACCACAATTAAACACTTGAACTGCAAAATGCAAAACTCACAATGGCAGGAATTCATGTGTAATAAATACAGTTATGCTGGATATTCATAAGACACCATTGCAGACAGAAAACAGTTGGCACTGAACTGTTGCACCCTGCATGCTCCTGTGTTTACCTGTAAGCCGACACCTGTGCCCTGCCTGGGACCTGCAGGTCCCTCTCCATCTCCTCACGGCTGGAGCCCAGGTGGGCAGCCAGGAGGTCGATCCGACTGATGTGGTAGAGCAGCTCCTTCAGGAAGGACAGGTTCCCCACCCCAATCATGTCTTTCTCCTGCAGCACTTCAAAGAAGGCCTTGGGCTCCTGGATGGCTTCCAGCTTCCTCCTGGGGACATGCTCCAGGCTGAGGAATTTAAGAGCTGCCACTTCCTCTGTGACCAAAGCCTCAGAAATTTCAAAAAGCAGCTTGAAGAAGTCTCTACTCATTTCACATCAGGGTTTGGATCTAAACACAAACAACAGTTGATTTCATTTGTCAGCAAGATTAGTGCAACAACATGATTTATATAAGGGGCATTACATCATGTAGAATAGCCCAAAATAAATACATGCAATCAGAAGTATTTTGATAGAGAGAGGTTGTCTTGCTATTGTAGCTTTGGTGTGCTTAGCTCTTTCAGTTCCCTGGACTTAACAAAGAATATTGAAACCTCTGTAGTTATTGCCATTAGCAGAGAAACTCATAGATCATTCTTGCTTCCTATGGTGTTCTAGACAGTGGGAAGTACCAATGTACAGGATGTACAATCCTGGCAGCCTGCTGCTGGTTTTTTATGAAGTTTGATACCATTTGGGAGAAACAGCCACCTGCCAGTCTGAAATATAGACTCTAATAAATGAGACTGCCAAATTTTACACCATAACAAAGCTTTTACACCGTAACAAGACTAAGAGTTCACATGAGTATAGCTACTCTAAGCTAAGCTATCTGGCTTCTCCTTTCTTTTTATACTGCCTCTGGTCAGCACACCCAAAGCACCTCTTCCTGTTTTGGTTTATCTGCAGCAAGTAAAATCATCTTTCTCACATAAATCATGCCTTTCATTTAAGATACAAGAGATATTGTTTATAAAAGCAAATCTTTCTTGTAAAGGAAATTTTCATTTTATTTCTCAAAGGCTGTAAGTTTCAAACCCATCAAATTATTGCAGTTAGAAGAGAACTGCCGCCTACACGTTACATTGAAGCCGGTCTGTAACTACAGGGAGCACAATTAAAACAATATTTAACTGCCACTGTTTTTTTCTCCCAGTTTGCTAACTGATACAAGTAAAATTACTATTGCTATTAATAGTAATTTTAAATCATTTACATGGGAGGGCAACTCTGAAGAAAGTGAGACAGCCAGTCTCTAAAGTTCCAGGAAGTCTGCCTTTTTCACAACACGGTATTGTCACATGACCTCCAAGAACTATGTTACAATGGAATTAAATACTAATAAAACAGGAGATCCCTACTTCAGCTACTACACACTTACATTTTCAGAGAACTGGTTATTACTGAACTTGTGCAAAAAAAAGGTAAACAAGCCATGAAGTAATCAGGTTTTGCTTTTGTTTTACGGCAACAACTAAGTAGCATACGTAGTGCTTTCTAGCATAGAGCACAGCTCAGCAGTTTTGCTCTCATACACAAATCCTAATTAAAAGACAGTGAGAGATGGCTGTATCTACATCTTTTCATTTAAAATATCTCAGTCCACTGCCCTGCTGTGTCAACAACTCTGCTATGACTTACCCGTTTTCTCTGAAGTCCCTCTCCGACTCACCCCATTTTAACAGGAAGATATTTTTTAAATTAAGAAAAAAGCCAACTATTATCACCAAATTCAGTAGCAGCGCTCAATAAATACAGGGAAATCAACAACTAAACATTCTTCTGAAATTATTTATGTAATATACTTCAATGAAAAGGTTCCCAGTGTGAAAAACAAGGTTCACGTATTTTTCTTATAGAATTTAAAAGTTGAAAAAAAAGACAATTAGGACATAAAAATAAAGTAAAGCACACAGATACAGCTGGGTGTCTCTGCATTCAGCCAAGAGAGCACACCTACTAACAAAGGACTGTCCCTTAAAAACAGAACCCTACTACATATCCATAAATTCTGGTACATATTCATACATTCTTCTTAAGATTTTTGGTGTTCTTCTGTTTAGTTTTCTCTTGCCCCCTTTCCAACAGATCAATCTTCTTGGCGCCATCGAGATTTACATTCCCCGGTAACAGAAATGCAATACATTCCTCCCCCAGAACTCTGGTCAGGCAGTCTTTATCTGGATAAAATAGTTTATGAATGCAGGGGGGCCTCTAGCTATCTTTTTCAATCTTTGGGTTATACAAACAAAAGTAGTTTTTGTTTTAATACTATGCCATAGCTTAACATATATGTATTATACCACTGTTTCTAAGTTTCATCAATAACAGAAATAAAGGAAACTATATTAATACAGCTAAATTTTCTAATCTTATACATATAACATTTATTATAATATTTGCAAAAAGCCAATAATGTGATATGCATTTATAACACCAGCATGCAAGTCGCCAGAATTTTCCATGCAGCAGGAAATAAAGCAGCATTCAGTTTGGCTACCAGACTCTCAGCAGATCTTCAAGACAGCATTATGAAGAGAGTTAGGAATGCTGAAATTCGTTAAGATTTTGCAATGAAAACAGACATTCATTGATTTCAACCTATCTATCTTTACAAACTCAAAATTATAGCTTACCCTTTGACAGAATGAGGTGTACAAATTCCTTTCAAAAGGCTCACTCTAGTAACAGATCAGAAAACCTTGTTTCACTGGCAGGAATTGTGTCATCACCCGAAGACTGGGAACAGCACAGAGGAACAGCACAAGTACTCTAACTTCAGGTCCAAAATGTTTGTCTCCATGTCATTCCAAGTCTCAGCATCTCTTTCCTTCCATAATTTCTTCTGTGTCTTACCTGAACCAAGACTTCAGTTGCAATCTGAAAGAGCCACAATGCTGAGATATGCACTGTGACAAACAAATAATGGCTTCTCCTCTCAATCAGCACTTTGAAGGACCACCCCTTTTCGCACTATTTCACTTCACAGAAGTTTCACTTTTGATTTCTTCCTCTCTCGCCCTTCCTGGAAACGTTACTGTGCTTTTGTTAAATTAGTTTCCTTCATTTCCCTCAGCTCCCCTGCATTCTAGTTTCCTCCAGAACTGTCTCAGTGACCCTGTATTTTCCTTGTACAGCCTGCCAAAAATTCATCTCCCTAGAAAGGGTGATCTTGAGGAAGAAATCTGCTGCGGCTCCTACCTGCTCAGCAACTGTAGCGACTGTCACCTGCACTGGCACAAGGTGGGATACACAGCTCCTGCACAAAAATGACAGGAGCAACAGGATACCAGGAACCACTTCAACATCACGATCTTGCCAAGACAGCAACTTCCCCAGAAGAGTGTTTATACTAGTTCCACTTAAATCTGTCTATACAGGGGCTGCACAAGACACAACCCTTCCTTAATTCTTTAGGTGGAGAGTGCACACATGCATGGCTCTGTATGCTATCAGTAAGCATCAACAGCAGACAACCACATTTGTTTATTTTCAGGTTTTCTTTCTGGCACAGCTCTGTATCACTAGAGTTACAGGAAAGGTGTAGAGTGTGGGCAGCAAGGAGTGATAAATACCTAAGTTGTACAAAACCAACCCAGTCTCCCCACACCAAGGGTTTCAAATTTCCATCTCACAACACCCTGCAGGAGATGACACAGAATTCCCCAACTGGGTGGATGGCAGCTGCACTTCCAGTTCCAGCCTGTGCAGCTCTTGGGCTGGTGCTGACAAGTACCACTGCATGCACCCAGATAAACCGTGCAGCCACATAAACACAGCCCTCGACACACAAGTGAAATACTCACACTAAACAGTCCAAATCAGGATAGCATAAACTTTGTTTAAACAAACTCCTTATGAGCAAGGGAGACTTTACCAGTCTTTTACACTTCACAAGTGTGGAACCCTCCCCCCACGAAACTCAAGGCTTGGTGAACTCGGACTCTTCTGACTGCCTTTACCTACCTATGATTTCACTGGAAATTACCCAGGCAGAAGTCTCTACAGAGAAAGCAAGAGAGCATGATGACATTCCCTGTCTACCAAACTAAAAATGAAAACAAGATCCTGCAAAACAAAGTCAATGGTTACTCCATAGTGATAAAAATTAGTTTCCTAAACATACAAAATGAGTGCATCAGGTCTGAACCGTAACTGCAAACCAGAAACATCACAATTCCATCCCAATGTTATATATTCCACCAAAGGATGAAACACTTTCCTTATCTGTGGCATAAATGTGACTTCAAGTGTGGCAGCCATGCTAATTTGGAAGACTTAAATGATTCACACAAGTACCACTTCATTATCATAAAGGGACCATCATGTTTTGGAAAACTGGCTGCATTTCAATGCTCTGTATAATGCAAAACACCCCTCCTAAAATCAGTGCAAGCTAGAAATTGCACCTGAGAGCACCAGACAGTACTCTTTCCTATCTTCACCTTACGGCATTGCTAATCATATATAACAATGAGTATTTTGATAAAGTTTCACTTCAGCTTAAACCCTGAAGCAGTTAAAACCTCACTGATTCATGCAGCCCAACAAAGTGCAGGAATCAGTCAGAAACAAGGATAAACCCTTACCCCAATACAAAATTTTTATCTCACGAAGCTCTTAAAAAGTATGACTTTAATGCAGTAACAAACAGGAAAGACACAGGCATACATAACAAGTGCTCGTAACAAAACAACATGGCACTATTTCAGTTAACTCACAAAATTCTGCCAGCAGCTTAGTTGATAGAAACCTTCTCGAATTGGCTGCATTTTTGATCCTAAACCAACAAATGATAATTAAAAAATGTAATGCTTAACAAAATTAATCTGACTGCTCTATTTCATAGCATGCAAATCTTCAACCCTAAGTCTTCTCAGAAGTGATGGGGAAATAACAGTTCACAAGGTTTCACAGAGAGAATAATAAGCAGCATTTTGGCTTTACTCAGTTTTGAAAAACTTCATTGTACATGAAGCTTATGTCAGCCATTTGAGGGTATCAGTGTGCACTGTGGAACAAATTGCTGGTTTCAGCTGGCAATCGGTTCTTTTTTAAGTTAAATGTAATTTTCATTAGAGATTGGTCCTTTTCCTTACTACTTAAGGTTTTGTCTCTTCATTCTCACTTTTTTCTCTCTACGAACATAGTGGATTTAGAAAAAGTATTTAGAATTGCTAGCCTGCAAAATAAAACATGATGAGTCTAAACCAGACCATTAATAATCCTGGTTTAAATATGGAAGCTTACATGCAATCCCTATGCTGCCAGGAAAAACCTTTTGTATCTGCAGCCTGTGCAGGTGCAAAAATGTTTAACATGACAGAAGTGTGGTTCTTCCAACACTGATAACTCTGAATATATAGATGATGTAAATAGCTGGCACATGGATTGTTTTAATTGTGTCTCCTCCAGTTTCGCAGTTTGTTTGATAAAAAATTTATGAGGCCTTGCATCAAAGCAAACATCCTCAGGGTTTTGGATAACTGTCTTAAAACAGGTAGTGTGATGTACTGCATTTAAATGAGATGATAAAATGATGTGTTTTAAAAGCCTCGATATTGCTGTGAAGGAGGAGGGGCCATAGGTATTGGGAATATAAATTTTCTTCTTAAGGTATATGCTGGTTGGGGCATTTGCTTCTTCATCCCTGAAGGGCTATCACGTTTGGCCACATCTTCATTAACTTGTGTTAGAATCGTCAAAATATCTTCACCCCTACAGCCAGAAGAAGAGCGAGGAAAAAAAAAATATTAGTTATTAGTGAGCATATGGCAATCCATTAAACTTCTCCCTGATCAGCTAGAAGACAGAGTATGAACATTTAACACACAGAAAAGAAAACACATACTTTTCTCCAAATTTCTCTTTTGTCCTCATTTGAGCCATATTAAAAACAAAAGACCTGTTCTTGCTGTCTTGCTTAATTCAACCAATAAAGAAAAATAATGGAATAAAATATTTTTACCTATCACTCAAGAAACTGTGTTGTCTTAAAGATTACAGATGTGAGATTTTGAGTGTTTTTTCACAATAAACTTCACATTCTACATATTACATGTATAGTATTCACAGAGTTAATGTAAATTTATCAGTGTAAAATCATCACTTTAAGTAATTCCATCCACCTTAGAACATGGGTAAGTGTTCCTAGATGAACTACCTTTGGAGAAGAAAAATTTAATCAGAGCACTAAGTCAAGTATTTACCTTGGTACCAACAACTGTAGCTTGCTGCAGAGTGCCTGAATATACCAAGCACCCTCTTCAATGTGACGGAAAGCCACACATCCGTCAACTGTGGCCATGCCTAGGAGGAAATCAGCATCTTCAGGAATACTTTCATAAAGAGAAACTCTCTCTTGCATGGAAGATGAGTCAGGAGTTGGTTCATCAGTATCAACATAGACAGGACGCTGTATACTGTCACCCTGGCATGCTTGGATAAAGAAGAGTTTGGGTTTTGCAGCCAGCTGGGGACATTGTTTGGCACTGAAGTGGGACGTAAGCATGCGGATTGACACAAGTTTCTCATCTGTCCCGTAGATTGCTCCTGACTTTCCATGAGATAGAATACAACATATAAAGCAGTTCCTGTCTTTGTGATCTTGCACATGCTGCCAAGTTTCCATGAGATTTTTAATATCCCCAGATGTTAGATCTGTGTAAGTCCTCACATCCAGACCAAGCCATGTGAATACTCTCTCCAGTTGCTCTGTAAATAAATTAATGATAAAAGGAAAATTTGAGGCAAGAGAAAAGCATTTTATGAAGTCATCATGCAAGCTGATCTTGGAGAGGGAAAGATTTTACTCCTTGACACTACTGCAGATTCATCCTCATACTAGTACCAACTAAAGGTTAACTGTAATAAAAAAAAGATGGCATCAGCTCAAACACAGTTCCTGGATTTTTCTAGACAACCTTCAGAAAATAGCGCATACATTATTGTTGTAAGTGAACACACCAATGACACTTGAAAACACAAAGAATCTGCCCTTCCCCAGTTTCGGATAAGAGCTTTCAAAACCTTCCTCGCATCATTATTTTCCAGTTGCAGTTTTGACTATTAAGAGTTCCATTCATAAGAGGTAAATAGAGAAAACAGAACAAAGTAAGAAGCATGCACAGAGTTGCTTAGTTATGTAATTTTGCATTATATTAGATGGGATGATAGTTTATTTTAGTTTAATTTTAGTTCTTTATTATAGCTGTAGATAAAAGATAAGTAAAAAGTGATTCTTAAAATTATTCAGGAATAATCCAACTGAAAAACCCTGTGGTTATTCATCCTCTAACCTCTCCTTCCCCAGGATACACAAATGACATAATTTAATACATATCAAACATTTTACTATTTTTGAATATTAAATAACCATAGACAATAAAATATAGGGCAATACTACATAATCAACTCAGCTGGGGAAACAGAGAGACTAATCTCCAAAAATCTCACTTCTGTAACTTACCAGCATCTTTGCAAGAACCTTTTCTCTGAGAATTAATGAAGTTAACATTATTAATAATGAGACAAAATCCTCTGTGTGGCCCATCCATTTTGTAGCTTGCCATGGTCTGTAGAAAAGAGAAGAAAAAAGCTTACAGTTTCAATGAATTTATTCAACTTACTTGTATTTCCTTAACATGTCTCAAAACTGGCGTTAGAGGCATCTAAGACTGTGGGCTATTTTTGAACATCTAGAACTCAGTGGTGCCTCCTTGTGTGAAAAAACATCAGTGAAACTCCAAGCACACTGTCACCACCCTATTAAACTGCAGAAGAAGGGTTTAGCATTTGTGCTCTCATCTGTATGCAAAAGGCAGGATTCAGCAACCAAACTCTGCAATCTGAGTCGGTGACGGGGACAGAAGACCCCAACTGTTTTCAATGTCAAAACAGTATTTTAGCTTCATGGCAGAGGGATCATAGTGAAACTATAGGATGTTAAGAATTCTAACCTGAATTGGGTTTTTTTGAGAACAGTAATGAATATCTGGAGTAGGTAATTCAT